TTTTTTTCTTTTTTTAGATCTTACTATGTAGCCCTGGCTAGCCTGGAGCTTGCTCTGGAACTCACAGAGATCTGCCCTTTTCTGATTCTTGAGAGTTAGGATTAAAAGTGTGCACAATCATGCTGGGACATGTACCACCACACTTGGCAAATGGAATACTTTAGATCTGTGACTAGACACATTCATCTCTGTTTATGTCTACAATTTAAATTTGAGTCTGCATTTTTCAACAGTTTACTCAAGGATTCAATATACTTAGCTAGTAAATGTCCAAAATATGTTATTTTATCCCCCCAAGTACATTGACTAAATCAATGGACCAAAAGTACATTTTTCAATCCAGGTAAATATTGCAAAAAAGTATGTTAACTATTCACTAAAAAAACTGACAGCCAATGGTTTTATTCAACTTTGAATTTTACTTTATAAGATAAAGCAGTTTAGAGTACTAAAACAATTTTCATAAAATTAGGAAAAAACACAATTAGTGGTTTCATAAGAACTCTACTATACATTCCCATGCCATACATAATAAGACACCAAAACTTAAGTAGATTCCTAGGGGTCTGTGTAGCCGGCCTTCATTTGGGGGGTTCTCAGTGTCATCAATAATCAACAAGAAGAGATGAATATGACCTTGAACACCAGTCCTGATATGTCTACAGTTATCCCAGGATTGAACAATTATGCCACTTCTGAGTCCAGGGGCCTGTTTTACATAAAGTGTCAAAGGAAGTGATATGGAAGCCAAAGTGAAGGGTGGGAGGAAGCTGGCTGAAGAGTGAGAGAGAAAGCAGCATCCCGAGGAAGGAGATCACTGTGTGGTTAAGAAAGCGCAGTGTTCTCAGCGCTCAGACTTAACAGTATTGTGTGCAAAGGAGAAAATGGCATCAAATGATACATGGGGTCATGTCACTATAAATCGGACATTTGAGCTGGGCTGGGTATGGTGGCACACACCTATTAATCCCAACATTTAGGCTGAAGCAGGAGGATCACAAGTTCAAAGCCAGCTACACAGCAAGACCCAGTCTCCAAAGGGAAGGGGGCCTTTTCTTCCTCCAGAGGTGGGGGGTAGAGCCTGCAAAAGTGCCCTAGTCATGCCAGGTGTGGTGGTGCACACCTTTACTCCCAGCACTCAGGAGGCAGAGGCAGGAGGATCTCTGTGAGTTTGAGACCAGCCTGGTCTACATAGTGAGTTCCAGGACAGCTGAGGCTAGAGGGAGACCCTGTCTCAAAAAAAAAAAAAAAGAAAAAAAAGGACCCCCAGCAAAAAGGTGGCACTTGCACCGTAGAGGG